ATATACACACATATATATATATATACATATCGTCAGTTGCCTGACGATCGCAATAGCGTGAAACTCCGAGTAGCAACATTCTGTTCCAGCGACCTCCAGTTCTATATATACATATATATATACACACACACATACATATACAAACAAACGTACATATATATGTTTAAATATAAAGATGCATTAAAAATATTCCCCATCAGTTCTCAAAAACTGAAGTTAGTACATATAAAACGCTGTACACATTAACTGTACTTGCACTAATTTGAATATGTATCACACAGCTTGTTATCTGCCTACGGTACATGGTAGACCAAATCTTTAAATGGTCCTTATATCTGCACCCTACCTCTGATCGTGACCAAAATATAAACATTTCTTCATTAAAACATGACTAACTATTCTGGAAAACGTCATTACCATTGATCCATTCTAAAGATATTTAAGTCTGGGACCTAATGGCCCTCACATGCACACCCGATTTCGGATCATCACCAACACTTCAAAATTTCTTCCTTGTAGCTTGGTTAAACTTTCACGAAACTTTAATACTGAGCAAATGAGAAAAAAAGACAAACTGGTACTGTACTATCCAGTTAAATGTAATGATAGTTGTGTATCATATTTCTTTTTAATGTTGTAACTGTTGATTTGAATGTTGGAATAAAGGTGACTTGTCACAGAAAGAAAAAAAAAACTTTAATTCAGAAATTTTTGAAATATCTGGTGTAGAGTGTTTCCTCTTAAATCCCTTTAATTGTTCCTCACATCCACACCCTAGTCTGGACCATCACCAAAATTTAATCATTTCTTTATTGGGACATATCTAATACTCCCTGTTGTTTTCATTTATATACAGTATGTGCAGCCGTTTTTTAGATAAATCAAACACAAGAAAACTACACTAAACATGAAAATGTTAACACACACACACACACACATCTACACGACTGAAAACATATATCTCCTGGTGGTGATACTAAATATAGACATGATTTTAAGAGAGAAGCATACACTGTACCTTAACTTGTGTATGCATTGAACCATGGAGATCGTTTTAGACCCATATTTCTCAGTTCAATTCCATCCCTGCTATCCTTGTTAATGCACATTGAAATGAGGTGTTTAAGTCATTAGTCATGTGTGCAATTGAATGCAGCATTTGTTATATGTACAATGAATGTTCCATTTCATCTGTTGCTTTAGCAATGAAATTCTATTCTCTTTGGGAAAGTGCAGTAGAGGAGATTGTCTCCTATGTATCTAATGCCCAATTTGCAGCCAATTCAATATCAGTCTTTAGACTTTTATATGTTGTTCTTGTGTTTCACACCAAGAAAATCCAATACAACCCATTATGTAAATTTTGTATCTGAAATTGATAAGAGAACTTTTACAATAACAATTTCAAATAAAATAATTACATAATATGTTTTATTTATAATAAATACACAATATGCATTTTTCTTGTAGTTATTGGCGCATATGTGATGACAGTGAGTGCTACAGATGCAGACTCGCCACCTCAGTCAAACAATAAATATAGCCTTGAACCAGTGTCTGATTTGCCTAGCGATGGAACTGATGGGATTTCTACGTTCAGAATAGGGCTGGATGATGGTAAAATCTTTACGAAAATTGAACTGAATCGTGAGGCAATTGACAAATACTATGTGCTGGTAAAAGCCGAGGATCAATCTATCTCCCAGTCAGGTATTATTTTTTTGGAATAATAATAATAATAATGATAAGAATAATAATAGTAATAAAAATAGTAGTAATATAGTGTTAGTAATCAAGCAATGATTGTGTTAAATGCTTCAATATGTATTTTTTTTCAAATCTAACAAATGAAAAGAAAAAGATTGATAGGTCAAGGAAAGTTGTTCAACATATAATAAAATCACAACATTGTCTGGAATTTATGAAAAAGATGTTACTCTTAAAATACTTAAAATTATGAATAATCCTACACATCCCCTACACAGTTGTTGCAGCTTAGATTTGGAATTAGATTCTGCCCACCGCATGCACATATCGTTACAGAAACTCATTTGTGCCAAACTCTGTTCACATGGATAACTACGGTAAATGCTTGAATAAGCGCTGTTCTCGAATGAGCACCTTGGCGCTTAATCGAGAGCATATATTACTCTGTGTGTAATGAAACACTTGGAGAAACAAGGTTTTAAATACAATGTATACAGTGTTAAAATAAATTTATGAAGACACAAGCATTTCTTTATAAACATTTATTTACAATGCCTACTGAACTACAGTAATATATTATGTGAAATAGGTAACATGGGAACGAACATGGAAAGCACCACACCAATACATTTTTATAAGTGGCACACTTGAATACCGCTCTCGAATAAACGCTGCACTGAAGGCTCAACAAATTTTATAAGTGCCACAATGCTTATTCAAGCATTTACAGTATAAATTTATTAGAAAATAACTTCTTTACCTTTTCACAAATTTAACCGCATTTATTATACCAAATTTTAAATGCTTAACTTTTGATTACAATTGTTTTTACAAGTTTTAATGTTAATGTTTTAATGTTATCACTTTATTTACTTGGTCTTGTGGTTTATGGTTCACTATATGTCCTTTGCAATTTAAAATTTTGGTTTTTTTTTTAATGTTTTACGTTTTTAAATTTGAAAAGCTGTACATCCAAAAATGTCTTTGTTTTATATGACAAATAAAATTTCATATATCTTAATAATTAAGGGGTAAGTTTAATTTAAGAAAGAAGATTTTCAAATATTCGAATTCCTGTATCTATGACCTATTTTCACCATAAATTATAATAACCTCTTCATTAAATCAATATGATGAGTTTACCAGTACAAACATTTTGGAAATCTGCACAAGTTATTTTCTCAAAATGTACCACTTCACAAGATTTTATGATGATCTATTCATTAGTTTTTGTATTTTATTTTCAGCTACTGCTACCGCAACAATTATCGTCTTAGATGTGAATGACAATGGTCCGGAATTTTACTTAGATCCTTACAGTCAATCAGTTCTAGAGTCGCTTCCTGTTGGTGATACAGTTGTGGATATTTTTGCGACTGATGAAGATATCGGAGTTAATGCAGAATTAGAATTTACATTTTTGTCTGGGAATGAAGGGTCAGAGTTTGGAATTACTCGGAACCCAGTAAATAGGCAAAATGCTGTGATCTACTTAATGAAAGTAAGGTTAATATGTGGTAATTACTCTGTATAATTATTTTTTAATTTCAAATACTAAAATGGCATACACTTTTCAGACTAAAAGTAGATTGTTTAATCAAGTTTAGAATTGTAAGTGAATAAGTAAACACATAATAAGTTAAAATATCTACAATACATTACAGAAATAGCTTATCACAATAACACGGAAATAAGAAATTGGCTAAAACCCTCAAAAATTTAATCAACACTTTAGTCTGTGACTAAAAATGATCTTCCTGTCTGTTTAGGAACTGGATTTTGAGACAACAGTTAAGTACGATCTGGTTATTGAAGCAAGTGATCAGGATTTCACTGACACTGCCACTGCTACAATCAACGTACTGAATGTAAATGAAGCACCAGTGTTTAGAGAAGAAACGTATGTCAAAAGTGTTGTGGAGAATAGTATATCAAATCCATTCATCGAAGTGTCAGCTTCAGATGTAGAAGGAAATATTATAAGGTAGGAATGAGAGGGAAGAAGTGTGATAGTTCTAAATAGAGTGTAGTTTTATATAGCACCATATCCATCCAATATAAGATTCTCAGGGCACTTGATATGTGGACTAGGAACTCGATCAATGACATTCTTCGCCCCTAAGGGTCCCTTCATGTCTGTGTTACCCAGTAACCCTGTACCAGCAACTCTCTTCATCCACCACAGGGGCTGTCTGTTCCAGTACACCAGGGTAGCCCCCTACTCGTCTCGAAGGACGTACTGGGATCTTTATAGTGCACATGTAAGGCATTGTATACACTGGGCTTATGGTTTATAGTCCTTACCTGAGAAGACTTTTTCTACCACCAGAACCATAGGCAAGCATGCCGTTCGATATTATCGGTGATCTTTTTAATATCTTATTCTAAAGCACTGGGTATTTTTTAATGGTCTGTAAAATATTTGGGGAAAAAAAGTCAGCGAATAAGATATTTTTTTTGACATCTTGTACATGATTTATAGATTCGTCAGAATACATTTTATTTGATTCTAATTTACAATTATTGTATCTCAACATGTACTGTATACAAGTATACATAATACTGTATTAATGTAAAAACATTAAATAAAAAAAAAAACAATATACCAATGCTCAGATATTTTAACTTGAAATTATGTATTTTCAATTAGTTATGAAATCGACCCAGCTACCAATGTAGGGAAATGGTTGACCATTAATTCAGACACAGGAATTGTAACTCAAGTTAACCCATTTGACCGGGAAGACAGTCCTACTCACAATTTCAGAGTCTGGGCAATAGATAATGGTAAGGAATCTTATATCATTAAATTAACCTGTATCGTGGCTTCAGGTTCAAACAACCTATTGTAGGCTAACACATACAATTACAATATTGTGGTAAGTCCAGGTACACTACATAAAAAATGAAGCTCTTAATAATAAAACATTAAAAAGATAATTATAGAATACAATACATAAAAAAAATATGTTTTGATATTTTGTCACCTTTATGATTTTTGGGGGAGAATGAATTTATTGAACATGGCATTTTACTTCCTCCCCCCAGGGAGCCCACCTGCGACTGGCTCTTGCACAATAAGTGTCACAGTGACCGATGTCAATGATGAATGTCCACGTCTTGTGGAAGACTACAAACCAAAGACAATGGAGAACCAAAAGCCACCTCAGGTAGTTGAGATTATAACAGCAATGGATCCAGATGAGGGTGTGCAAACACCATATAAATTCAGTATTGTGAATGGTGATGTCAAGGAAGGGCAGTACACTGTCAATGAAGCTTTTGAGTTGGAAACTATTAGTGGTATGATATACCAAGTTTTAACATTATTTTTACCATAATGAACTCAAATAATGTTTCCAGTATAACCGATTGTTCAATGCAATGTCTTATTAAAACATTAAGTCATTTTAAGCTTTGAAACACTAGGTGATTTTGGTTGTGAGAACAATTTTTCGATGTTTTCATTCAGGGGCAGATTTAGAGAGGGTGGGGGGGGGGCGCCATTGTAGTCTTATGTTGGTTACATTCACTTCCAAGCCATAAATCCTATATGTGTGATTGATCCTTTGCAGATGGTTGTCTTAATGCTGATTGGTAGCCATTGATATTTAACTCATTATATAGTAATGAAACCATCCATCCCAGGGCACTGTCAATGCTAACCAGAAAGCATCCTCATTTCCTTATCATTGGGAACTCACAATTCATTCAGTTTTGATGCTCTATTAAACTCTTAAGGACAATTCCGACAGCGTCGTATAACATAGCTGAACACGATTCATCATCGGGGGACAGTCTTGGGCCGTCGTGAGAAGTACTAGAAATGTTTAATATTCTACGAAACAACTCCCCCGACGCAAACCATCGTGTCTGCGTTTAACTCACACAGATACGACGTGACAATAAATTGCGCCTGGCTGCGTTGGCTTTTATGAAGCTACTTAAATTACACAAGATGCATGGATATTTCATGGATGCATGCTCATTTCATACAGACGCACCTGCTCATGGACAAGATGTAGCAGGGGGAAGTTGCTAAGTCTATTTCTTGAATGCTTACCTGGATAACCCGACTAATTGCCATTGTTCCGAAAATGGAACACCCCTTCGAAAAAATAGAACAGTCCGACCCAGGGCGCCACATACAAACCGTCTCCCTAACAATTGTCCCCATTCCCTATTCGATGTTGTTCGTTGAAGGAGCTCCTTTGTGCTGTATTAGCCTAAATTGCTAAGACCATGTGTCTCAAATTGTGTTCTTTGTTATCGTTTGTAAGACGAATTCTTGAATTGCTATTTTTGGAATTTTGGATTTCTTTTCAAGAAGAAGTTTTAGACGACATATCCTTTCATTTTAGCTTGAGTTGTAGTTTCTTCTTTTGTTATGTCCACACGCAAGTCATGCGTGGCGGTTGTGGAGTTAATTCTCGGTTTCGATCTTTCTCAGCTGGTTGCCCGGCCAATGCCAACCATTCTTAACATTTAAGCATCTCTTTTGAATCTCCTTCCCAGCGTGGTTTGGGGGCGAGCCTGTGGGGGCCGCCAGCTCCTGCGCATCCCGCCCATCCAGTCCCCATTGTGTGTCTCCATCCAGACCTCATTCTTCAGTTGAACTTGCAAGCGAAGTCTAAGCTGGTTGCTGCTCCTCGGCACCTTACGGCTGCTTTCCTGGTCCTCGAGGACCATCTCAAGCAGTATATTCAGACGCCGCCCATTCCTCGCGCTGCCAAGGGCAGATTGCCAGATGGTCAGAAGCTTTCTTCTACTTCTAAGACTTTGTTTTCGACCGAAGCACAGGGCGCGACCGAAGAGGCTTTGTCCTTTGTGGACCGCGCAGCTCGGAAGGGCATTCGCACCGTGAATGGGGCTGGCTTTGCTTTGTACTTCTTGTCTGATGCTGACGTGAGCCCAACTCTTGTCCCTGATGGTATTGCTCTCCTTTGGGCCTTATTTCTGATACATGGATATAACATGGATGCATGCTCATCTCATACAGACACACCTGCTCACAAACAAGATGTAGCATGGGAAGGTTACTAAATTTTACCTGTATGTCCTATGTAAATTTTGTCACGTGTAAATTGGGTATGAGTTTAACTGGAGTTGTTTTTAGTCAAGAGAAAATATAATGAAACTGCAGGATTTGAACCCAGGACATTAGGATTAAAAATATTAGTAATAGCAGATAAAAGTACAATATAATTGGAACATTGCTGTTTACATTTATATGTAATATACCGAAAATAAGTTAATTTGATAATTATATGGAGTGAATTGTTTTCTTAATCATTGCTATCACTTTCACAGATACATCAGCAGAAATTAGAACCCGCAAAGAATTTGACCGGGAGTCACAGAAATTTTATGAAATGGAGATCAAAACTGAGGACAATGAAGGTATATCATGTACTTCAACTGTAACAATCGAAATTGGGGATGAGAATGACAATCCGCATCAGGCTGGTGAAAAATCAATGTCTGTCTTTACATATGAAGGTAATATTTTAATTGTTAAGACCTGGTACACAGCACACTTGAGGTGCGCAACTAATGACAAGTCGTTTAGACTGCCACTGACATTCAAGAGACAGCATCACATGTCAATGTGCTCACAGAGACCAGAGATGGATTTTTTGGCCGATGGTCATCCAACCATTCATGATGCACACACTGCATCATGAATGGTTGGATGGTCATCCAACCATTCATGATGCAGTGTGTGCCCGGCTTTAATTTCAAAGACTATTGAATCTCAGAATATGTCTTTGTCTAAATCTTTGTCCACACTATCAATTTTATTCGACACATAACTGTCCATAACTGCCCATACTTTGGTGTATTATGACATCATGCCCATATATGGGCAGACCATACAACATACAATTTGATAGTATGACTATTAAAGTCATTTTGATGTAAAAGAACAGATATAAATTTTAACATATCAACTGATGTAAAAACATTTTCACTTAATCCATTCTTTGTTGCACAGGTGGCACATCCACAGGTGTGGGGACAATACCTGTGGGACCGGTTAACTCACCTGATCCAGATGATGATGATCTGGATGAAAAAACATTTACCAAGCTTAATGAAGATGATTGGGTTTTCTTTGATGTGAGTATTATTATGATATACATGCATCTTAAATTGTCTTTTCCAGAATGTCCCATAACTTCATTTACAAGTATGAAAAGAAAAATATAGCCCATTCCATCCATGCACTATTTTTCAAGGCTAGGGTCTACCCTGCTTAGTCTTTTGTTAATCTAAATCACTTGCCATGTCCATCAGTAATTACCTACAAAGATTTAGTTTTAAGTGTTTTGTTTTACAAAAATTATCTAAAAGATTGCTTTTTGGAGTCTATATTTTAAATGTTTTCTAAATGGTCATTTGTCCCAGGTAATAGTCACCATGTAAATTGTCCAAGCAATACCTTTGATTTGCGTAATTTGTTTTCTTATTTAGCTTGACACTGACACTGGGGTTATCCTGATAAAAGAAGGTACTCCAGATGGAATCTATGAAATGGAGATCCTAGTGCAAGATAATAAGTTCCCAGACCAGATATCCACGGTGACCGTTACAGTTACTGACTTGCCAGAGGAAGCTGTCTATAACTCAGGTTCTATGAGAATGTCTGGGGACTCCCAGTTCAATGCAGCAGAGTTTGTTCGGGAACCGAACAGCATCTATAACACCCTGCGAACTACCCTAGCTGAAATTCTTGGAACGCCGGAAGGCAATGTGGATGTTTTTAGTGTTATGGATGTTGAAGGTGAAAGCAATATGGTCGATGTTCGCTACTCAGCTCATGGGTCACCTTACTATAAAGCAGAAAGAATGGATATGGCAGTGAGGGCTAATCAGCAGAAGGTATTTCTTTCTTAATTTCTTTAGACTTTTTTCAAAAGAAATAGATTTAAAGACATATCATTCGTTTCGTTTTTTATTTTCCATCATCAATAACTTATATTTGCATTTCAAAAGGTAAAAAAAATGTTTTTGTTGGAAATGAAAGGAGGCCTCTATAGGTCTGAAGACACTTAAGCTTAGGCTACAACTTACGCTTAGTCCACAAAACTTAAGCTTAGAACATGACACTTAGCAATTAATGGTGTACAGATGTAATTTGTTTTTAATGTGGCTTGTATCCTGTAAAAGAATCAAACATCTGAAGACTAGCAATCATAAATTGCAGATCTCAGTCACTGAATTATCATAATAAAATAAATTTCCACCAGGTGCAAGATGCCACTGGACTTGATCTGGAAATGATAGGAATTGATGCCTGTTACCTTGATGAAGGGGTTTGCGAAGGCTCCTGCTACAACAACTACACCGTCACCAAAGAACCATATCTTATCGATTTGCAAACGCAGTCGTTCACAGGAATAACGACCTACACTACTGCTGCTTGTGGGTGTGCCGGAAGAGAAGTCTTTCCGGATGGATGCACATACGATGCATGTATGAATGGAGGTACATGCACACCTACTAATTACGGTGGATTCAGGTAATATTATCATTTGTTTTTGCTACGTGTGATGATACACGTGACCATTTAACTATAGAGACAATTAGTAATACAGTACTCATCTTCCACTTCTCATGAGAGATAGTTCCTAGGGATGTTTGCTTGTTTTCAGAGTACAGGTATTCCTATGCAACAGGTATTCCATAACAATCATAAATAGAAATAATTTTTGTGAAATCATGTGACATATTCTTTCCTATGAAATATAAATACAAAACACAAATGATAATGATGGTTATGTGTGACCTTTTACTTCCTTTTAGGTACCTAAACCCTATTTAAAATGCTCTATCAAGCCTCATTGTGAAGCTTAAGCGCCAGGGTTGTTATTCAATGGTAAACAATAGTGCGCCCTCTCCCGGGGCACCGGAGTCAGCCA